CCCCTGCTTGTGTTCCTGCTCTCACTGTCTCTCTCTCTGTCAAATAAATAAATAAAAATCTTTAAAAAAAAAAAAAAAGAGTCTATAAGCCCCTACAATTGAAATGGGAGGCACTTCAGGTATCAGAGAGGAAAAAAAGTATTAAGAAAACCTCACACATATTTTTCAGTGGTTCATGGAACGCCTGGAAAGATGGTCATTGAGAGAGGGAGAGGGAAAGTCCCATGAAGACTCGACAAAATTCTTTTAAGCAAAAGGACTCAAATCTGTAGGATTTGCAGATTCAAAGTACAGAGCCTATTACCAACTCAGTTTTCTACCTCCCAATCTGAAGAAGTACTTTATTTTTTATTTATTTTGAATTTTAAATCCCCCAAAGCACTAAGGAATTCCATCACTTTGTTTTTTTTTAGATTCGTTTAAATAAAGAGATCAAGATTTCTGAAACTAGATATAAAACCAAGTTCATAAAAGTAGGTACATTTGAAATGCTGAACAAAGAACCTTGCAGACAAGTTCTAGAGTAGAAATAACATCATTGCTGACACGTTTAAGAGAAACAGTTTTCCATAATCAAAAGGAGGCAGGGAAAGGTGTAAGAGGCAGGGATCAGGAAGCTTATAAAGGAGCCCCCCCCCCCCCCACGGCCATTGCCTTGGAAAAGAGATGCAACACAAGCTATAGGAAGCTATTTTGTTTGGAAAGAAAGATTAAAAGCCTCACGTAACACCAAATGACAAGGCCATCACTAGAGGCAGCAACAGGGTAGTCTGTACTTGTCTATATGAAAACAAACAAATGTGTTTTGAACACATGCATCTTGCCTTGGGCAGACCAAGTCTGAGGGATAATCACAAACACTGACATGAACTTGTATTTCTCTTTTATGGAGCAATATCTCCATTTTATGATCTTTTAGGATACAGCAATTAAAGTCATTTTATTGCCCACAGGTGTTTTTTGCTATTAGGGGTAATTCAGGAATCTTTTTATTTTTTTGGTATCTGTCTCGCTGGCCAGATACTATATGTGAGTTGAAAGTGGTCTAGGGTCAGGGACTCTCTCAAGTTTAGGAGCATAGGCTGTTATCAAGCAGTATTATAACTGAAGCACCTCGCTATTTGCTCTAGACAATTACCACAACTCTCAATATCCTAGAGGAGTTCAGAGCTGGCAGTCATTCGACCCCTCATTATAAATGAGCCTTTCTTATTCACTAAATCAGTATCTCCCCACTGACCCCCAACCTGTCCCTGCCAGTCCTAACCTCAACTTCCACACCTGGTAGCACTTCTTGAAACATATTCTTTTCTTTTTTCTTAATGGATTTTAAAATTTATTTTAGAGAGAGAGCACACATGGAGCAGGGGGTGGGGGGAGGAACAGAGTAAGAGGGAGAGAGAAACTCAAGCAGACTCTGCACTGAGCATGAAGCCTGACGTGGGGCTCAATCTCATGACCCTGAGATCATGACCTGAGTCGAAATGAAGAATCAGATGTTCAACCAACTGAGACACCAAGGCGCCCTTTGGAAAATATTCTTAAACTTAGATGTAGAGTTAAAGATCTGTGGTCTTCTTCCATTTCAGGTAGCATTTGTGCAGTGAAAAAGCCTGTAAGAATGCCCATAAACTCCTCCTGTGCATCTGGTTCACCTTGTGCATATACAAACAGTACTCCAAAACAGCTACCGCAAGGCTGGGCTAGACACAGTCCACTTCCCTTGGCAGATCTATTCTCTACTTGGCTCTGTGACTCGAGAGGTTGAGTTAAATGACCTCTGTCTGCTTTACTTGGCAACCCTGCTCCTAGCTTCCGATGGGTTTGGCCAACTGAAGAAACAGGCAAGAGACTGGAGAGTAGGAGGTGTTTTTATCCTGTCCCCTCCCTGTGGGGCTAAGGGGCTGGCAGAGTCCACCTTCCTCCCACCACACCCAGCTCCTGTCAAGCCTTCTCCTACTGCTTCAGACCTCTGAACACAGCTCTCTCTTCTTCAGAAAGACCTCTTGCCCTTTCAGGCCTAAGGGTGACAGTGGCCTATCATGGCTGCTGGTCCTTGAACGTCTCTGCCTTGTCTCCTAACCCCGTCTATGACTCTGTAAATGGTCTCTTCATTAAACTTCCTTCCACCCCTCTTGAGTGTGCATCTCCTTCCTGCCAGAACACTGATCCACATTTACAGGAAGAACCATTCTGCATTTCCCTTAAAAATATTTAAAACATCACTTTTCACGTACAGTTAACCCTTGAACAACATGGGACTGAACAATGGGGGTCCACTTACACACCGACTTTTTAAAAAGTTTTTTTTTTAAATTCCAGCTAGTTAACATACAGTGTAATATTATTTTGGGGTGTACAATAAAGTGATTCAACACTTCCATACATTACCCAGTCCTCACAACAATGCACTCCTTAATCCCCTTCACCTATGTCACCCATCCCCCCACCCACCTCCCCCCTGGTGACCATCAGTGTCTAGAGTTAAGAGTCTGTTTCTTTTTTTCCCTTTGCTCATTTGTTTTGTCTCTTAAATTCTAAACGAGTGAAAAATATGGTATTTGTCTTTCTCTGACTAATTTCACTTAGTAATAGTCTCTAGCTCCATCCATGTAGTTGCAAATGGCAAGATCTCCCTCTTTTATACGGCTGAGTAATATTCCATTGTATATATAACTATCACATCATATACCATTTCCCCCCTCATATCTAGGGTTAGCGTTAGGGCCAGCGTGAGGGTATGTACCTAATATCCTGCAATTCAGAGACCTCTCTGGAGGGTTACATTTATTGGTTAGGGTTTGGGTTAGTGTATGTGCCTAATATCCTACAGTTCAGAGATCTCGCCAGAGAATAAAACCCCAGACTTCTGCTTGGGTAGGAACAGACATGGCTGCCATCTACTGGGCTGAGGCAAGGAAGGGATTTGGGGCTCTAAATACTCTTTAAATAGATATTCAATTGTTCCTTCTGTTTTTATCTTTACCTTTATACCCATTTTCAGAAATATCACCAATTCTTAAATATTTGGGGTCTTCTCCAGAATAACTAGGTTGCTTCTCAGCTTTTCTTATCATGTGTTCAGGAACTCACTTTTCAGATCTAGGATTAGGGTTAGGAGGGCCAGGGTGAGGGTATGTGCTTGGTATCCATGTGTGGACTCTTTTTGATAAATACAGTAAAGCACTGTAAATGTATTTTCTCTTTCTTATGATTTTCTTAATCATTTTCTTTTTTCTAGCTTTTTTGTAAGAATACAATATATATATATTTTGTATATAATATACATATATTATACATATATGTATATATGTTATATATAATATATAACACACAAAATAGGTGTTAATCAACAGTTTATGTTATCAGTAAGGCTTTCTGTCACTAGTAGGCTATTAGTAGTTAAATTTTGGGGGTCAAAATTTATATGCAGATTTTTGACTGCATGGGGGGGTCAGCCCCCTAATCCCCACATTGTTCAAGGGTAAACTGTACTGTATGTTTTATCTCTTTGTACAACTCCAAATACAGAAGTCACAGAGGAGCAAAAGAATAGATAGCAAAAATCATGGGCTACATTTGGGGCTCCTTACTTTTTCTGGTGAGAGGTGGTGCGCCTGGTGCAAAAGACAGCGATGACCACAACCACCACAATGGTGACGACGCCAACCGAAACAATGATGACCAGCAGCATGCTACTGTCCAGGGGAGAGGTGGGGCTTCCATGCGGGCTGTTACTACCTGTAGAGGGAAAACCGGTGCATTTGTTAGTGTTCGAGAATTCCACAAATGCATACACTCAAGAGTATGGAAACTTCATGTGAGAGTCTCTGTAATAAACTCGTTGCCTTGGATACAAGTGTCTCGTGTAATCTGGAGAGCCAAGTTTATGCACTATGTACAGTTCTTAACACAGTGCCTTGCACAAAGCTGGTGTTCAGTAAAAGCTTCTCGAATTATACTGAACATTATACTTGGACAAATAAAGGGTCTGCCCCTCCACCCGCCCCAGTGTCTTATGTTATATTATGCATACATTTGTCTTATAAAGCACCATTTGTAAATAATTTAGTTTTCTGACTTTCAAAAGCATTTAAAAAATGTACAGTCATAGAAAGCTAAAGTTTTCCCCCACATATAGATGTCTGAGATCACAAAAACTACTTGAAAAATACAGTCTGCTTTTATAAATATAGTCTTTGCAAAGTTAATTCTCTTATTCAGCTTCAGGGAAAAGTAGGTCTGTACATATGCATTAATTTGACAAATATTTACTGAGTAGTTACTATGTGCCAGGCATTGTTCTAGGTACTAGGGATGCAACAGTGTACAACAAGGATGTGACTGCTGGGGTAGGGGCAGAAAATAAACAAGTAAGAAATTACTAGTAATAAGTGCTATGAAAAAAATAAAAAGAGGGGATATGATACCATAGATAGCTGATGTCTTTCCTTCCAGTTATTCTCTCTCTCCTATACAATAGTCAGATCTGTACAATAATGGATGGGCTGCCTTACAAAGTAATGAGTGTTTAGTTTCTACAAGTGTTTAAGAAGAATCATTCTACCATTCTGGGAGATTGTGGAAGAAATTCCTAAGATGAAGCTATGGCTTGGGAATCTGTTTTTTAGAAAAGCTCCTAAAGTGATTCCTAAGTACAACCCTGGTTTATAAACTTATGATCTAATTCAAAGTATACTTATTGTGGGAACCCCTTCCGTAACACTGCATTAGCTGACCTTCCAACTTCTGATTGTATGATTTTTATTGGCTACATCTAAGCACAGTGCTAAATCTGGGCTGATTTAGGAGGGCTTAAGAGCTTATTCTTCTCCATTTGGTTCAATCATTTTTATTCCTCATTTCTGAGAAAAAAGTAAGCAGACAGACAACTTAAATTGTCCATACCGACCTTTAATAATACAACATTTTTATATTTGGGAAAGACTACAGAACTAGGGGCCAGTAAAATTAGACCATACTGGGGCTTTCCATACACCTTTTATTAACAGCAGTGCTGAGTTACTGGGTAGGGTGTGTGGCGGGGCAGGCACTGCAAATCAGAGGCTGGGGAGCTGGGGTGTGGGGACAGCAGAGGTGGTGGCGGCAACTCCTTCCAGAGATGAATTCCCACTTAACTGCATTTGACCTCTAACTTCTGAGAGGACCAAAAGCTCCCATGGAAGACAGGGTAGGAACGATCTGCCGCGGGAGCATGTCCTGCTGGGGACATTAGGACAGGCCACTACTCAAGCCTCATCTGGACTGCTGCAACAGCTTCTTAACCACTCTCTCTGACATCATCATCTCAGCCCCAACTCCTTCTTCATTCACCAGAGTAATTACACTTGGTACTCAATAAATGGAGGTCACAGTTCGCCCGTGGTACAAGGCGTCTTACACGTGTTATGTGCAGGATGAAGCTCACATTTCATAGCTCTGGTACCTGAGCTTTTGGCAGGCTGGTTCTAACCTACCACCTTCTCTAATGTGAGAATCCCTAGCCTGTCTCCAGGCAGTGTGATCCCTGGAGAGAGCCGGCTGTTTTTTGCTGCCATGCATTTGCACGTGCTGTTGGTGCTTCCCGAAATGTTCAACCCCCCTGCCCCGTGACATTTAGCCATCTTCCACGCATCCTTTCATATCTGGGTCAGACACCTCCTCTTCTATGAAGCTTTCCCTTTTCTCTGTCAGCTGCTTTGTTACTCCTTTTGCTTCCATACATAGCCTGTTACATAGAACCTGAACCTTTATAAACACATGTGAACGAATGAATGTATAAATGAAAGACAAGGAAACAACTGCTCTTCTCAGAGCCTTGAGTATTATACTGTGGACAGCACATAAATATAATACACACATCCCAGGAGGAAAAGCGCAGTCCTAGAACTCAGGCCAGGACTCAGATTCCCACATCTGGTACAGAACCCCAGGCCTTTTAGGCTGCGTGTGATAGTGGAAAAGTCACAATCAGGAGTCAGAAATCTGGATTTTGGTTCCAGGACTTCCATAATTAGTGGGTGGATCCAGGCACATTACTTCTCCACCACTGAGTCTCTTAATGTATAAAACGGGAATATCTGTTCTCCGTGCTTCAGTGTTATGAGGATCAAATGTAATTTCAGGTGTGAAAGTAACTTATAAACAGTGAAGTCTGTAGAGAAGTAGGTGCCATCATTAAGGAATTAGAAGGCACCAGCTCTTAAGCTGGCTAGGAGAGTGGGAAGAATTTTTTAGAATTCCCAAATTAAAACACTGTGGTAAGCAGTATGGGGAGAAAGTCATGATTCTAAAGCATTTCTTTGGCTTGTTCTAGGTGATGGATAATCCTATTAGAGAGTTTATTTTTGAGAGCAAGATTCTAATTCTTTTCTAGAGGCAGGCAGTGGGCAAAAGACTGATTTGTTTAGAATTAATCTTATTAAAGTTGGATATGTGGAGAAATAATTTTATTTATGGATCTTATAGTGAATGGGTTTGCAGTAATTCAGCAAATTTTTGCCAGAAAATGCCTAAAGGTAACTACTAAATAAAAGGAAATAGGTTAACATGCTACAACCCACCACAAAGAAGCTACAAAAGACATTTCGAGATTCAAGCGGAACTACGTCATGCCCACAGTGGGCCAAAAAAGCCATAAGAAAGACTTTACCACTCATCGGAGGTTTGTAGTCAGATCCTAGGTCTGGCAGCCGGCTTCCTTTTCCTGCAGAACCTGAGGCTGAAGGAGAAGAAATCATGTCAGTAATGACTCAAGCCATTGGTGTGATGAGTCCACTTCACAGCTAGTGAGTGTTTTCTACAAAAAAATATTTTCAGTCTACTCTGTCCATGAGAAAATGAAGTAGCACATAAACAACAGGGGACAAAATAGGCTGTGCAAAGCAAACTAAGGTATAGCTTTCTATGCAATGAGGCATCTGAAAGGCTGACACTCTCGGTCCACGCTGTATCTAGCATGGAACTAGACTGCCACTTGCTGTTCGTAAGGTGGGAACACACCCATTTCTCTCGCCCAGGAAACAGTTCCTGCAAGACCGCTCAGAGCACTTATGGCAAAAGTAGCTTCTCTCAGAAAAGGAACCAAGGGCCCAGTTAGGTTGGCTTCTGCATTACAGAAGTGGGCTTTTCCAAAGGACCCGGCTACATTGATCTCCTAGTAGGTGTCAGTAGTGTTTGGATTTTTTCCTCAAATTACAAAGTTGCCTTTTCCAATATAAAGATACCCTAAGCAGTAGCAAGAAGACACGTGGAAGTTCAAATTGGGTTCTCGGTTCCTGCTCAGTTACCCAAATACCCAAGCATGGAAAAACAAAGTCTCCCCTCTTGTTGCTCACCGAGGACACTCTCTCCTAATCCACTGTCATAAAATACAATGAGTGAGGCTGCAGATCTTAGGCTTGGGACCACCTCACAAACAGATTTCATAAAACACAAAGATCAGCTTTTCAGTAATCCATATTCTTGGTCCTGAATTTTGTTCACATTTATAGAAAAAGCGGCTTGGGTAAAGCAAATATAAGGAACCCATTCCCAATATAGCAAGGGTATCCATCAGTCCAAGGTTTGGAGTCCTCCTGGAGAAGTCTGAAAGAATTGCAAAGTCAAAGCTGCTCCTCATGGTTAATATAGCACACTGCCTTCACTTGAATACTGGCCTATCATGTACTTGACTTCTGGCAAGTCATTTATTATCTTTGGGTCTCAGTTTCTTCATCGTAAAGCAGTGATAATAATGGTATCTACTTCACAAAAATGTATTGAGGATTAAAAGGAAACTTACTCCTATAAAATATTTTGAATACCGCCTGACACATAGCAAATGTTCATCAAATATTAGCTGCTATTATTACATACATAATAAATCTTTAGGGAAGAATACAACCTTCCCCTTTGCAGAGGCACAGAGCATGAAGCTTCAGAAAACACTTATAAATAATTATTTCTACAAATAAAGCTTGACTAGAAATGCATAAAATGTTTCTATAAAACATTACAGCCAATGTCAAGTACTTCTATAAATTATCAGAGTTGGACTAAATGAAAAATTAAATTCTGAGTATTTCTATATATAGTTCATTTAACAGAATAAATAGAGAGATGAAAACAATGTTTTCTGTTTCCAGAAGCTCAAAACTCCCAAAGTAACAGAAGTTGTTGGGTGTCCAAAAGGGCATATTTAACTCAGTCCCCAATCCCTTTTCAGTTGTCCACACTTGTTCCTTTATCCCCTCACTTCCATGGCCATCATTGTTCCCAAATGGCACATAGCCTATGATAGGATTCCAGTTGTTCTTTTCACTGGGATGAAGTCTAGTTGGAGGAGATGACTGAGCCCTTGTAAGGCTCTTCAGACTTAAGGGTGCTTATTTTTCAGGTAGCCACATGTAAGCCCAACTATCATATTATGTAAATAATTGCCAAAGAATATACTTTGCCAATAAACTGGTTGGTTTAATTCCTCTATTTCCCAGCATTTTTGCTTTTAAACATAACCTATGAAGAAGAAATTCCAAGGATTAACCAAACACCAAAAAGAACTATGGGTAAAGAATTTTAAAGGCCAGAGGTGTGGTGCAAGTTAAGACTTGCACTCTGGCTTATCCAGTGAAGTGCAGGAAAAACAATGAGCACATTTATACTCTGTGCATACACAGTATTGTTATTTTTCTGTTCTCCCACTTAAGTCAGAATGTCTACCATCACTAGGGCGCCTTACACATACACACAAGCACGTTTACAGTTTCTCCAACATACAACAAAAGACTCACTGAGTGCAAATACATTTCCAAAGCCCTGAAACATGCAACCTCAAGTTCTGACTCTTCCCTGCCATTAACAAGATCCAAAGACCTTTTCTTTCGTCTTCTTTTTAAAGATTTTATTAAGTGATCTCTACTTGCAACATGGGGCTCAATTTCACAACCCCAAGATCAAGGGTTGCACGCTCCACCGACTGAGCCAGCCAGGCACCCCAAGACTTTTTATTTCTAAAGACTACTCTTAAACCTTGAAAGCAACCATCAACTTTACTTCCACACATACCAACTCTAGCTGACTCCCCAGAGATGAAAACCGCAGTCCAGTTACCTCTTCACCACAGCAGTAACAGTGGAGAAACTATGTTGACAGACAATTTCGAGAATGGTGACACTGAAGCCTGTACTTCCTGAGTTTCCAGTTTAAATTGTTTCTATCTCTTTTAAAACGAGCAGATATATTTAAGGGAAGAAACAGAAAAAGAGCTCTGAATTAAGCTTATTTAACAGAATAAATAGCACTAATTTTGTCACAGATAATCACACAGTTCAGTAGGGTAAGTCTGTGGATTCTTGGTGAGGGGAGGAAAATAGGGTATTTGCTGAATTTGATTACAACTTTCATTTAGAGATACTAATGCGATCCTAGATGCTACAAATATGACAAATTGGTATGCTTGTTCTCATACTGGTCTGCCTATCACTGTTACAGAATTTCAGTATCTTAGCACAGAGGACAAACTGGCCCACACTTAAGGCCAATCCACAACTGCAGAACTCCGTTTACTCTCCTCAGTTTTTCCCTTGCCTATTTAGCCCCTAAGTCGACTCCCCAGCTTTTCAGATACCCCAAGTGCCACAAACATGGACTCAACTCCACTCTGGCCAATGAATAATGTGGATTTTAACATACAGGACTGATTTTCAGGAAAAAAAAAAAAGAAACAAAAACAACAAAAAGCTAATAATAATAGGTCACAAAAGAGAGGAAAGGAGAGAGAGGCCATCTACTGATTTACCTTGATCATTAGGCATTTTATCAGAGGAGTCCGCTAACAGGCCAAGCACAGGGGGAGAAAAAACAAGAGCAAGGATCACAAGCTTTGAAGGTGGGACAGGCAGAATTTTTAAAGGAAAAAAAATAAAACCCCACAAACTTCCAAACAAATCGAGTCTTATTTTCAGTACTAACAGAAAAGAAATCCATACATGGTTTCTACATTCCACATACTCAGTCCCCAACTAAATTTTATTCCTAGGCTCACTTGGTTCAGTACTTTACCTTCACTTTCTTATCTAGAGTTTTCTTCAGAGCTCCCCTGTTAGTGTCTTTCTCTCTACAGAGGTCCACGAATAAGCCTTTCAGGTTAAGAGCCTGCATGTGTTGAAAGGGAATCATCCATCACAATAACATGCTATTACTCTACCTGAGAACCAAGAGAATCACATCTGATCTGACTGGTAAAAACTCTGAGATCACTGCAATCCATCTGCCTTGAACAGCCTTGTTTGTGGTATGGTTAGGCCAGTAACCTAGGGAGCACTGACTTGGTGGTCAATGGGTGGGTGAGGGATCATTTTGAGATAAATGTTCACACTGTGGCTCATAAGCTCATCATCAGGGCTTCTTATATTATAGTCTCCATAGTCTCTATATGCTAAAGTGATATGTGCAAGCACTGCCCCACTAAAGAGACATAGAATAAAATGCTGTTTAGTGGAGATTTACCTTTAGGTGTTCTGAATTGGACAGCTTCAGACATGGGCCCCATGCCCTTTGAGTTTCGGGCTTGGATTTTGAAGTAGTACGGTGTGTCAAGTGTTAACTCTTGTATCTGGTGAGTCAACCTGTTTCCCACAACAGGCTCAATAACCCAGTCGTGTATCTCCGCATTCACATCCGTACTATAATATATGATGTAACCTGTCCAAAGGAGGAGATGAGAAAAGATACCTTATTCCTACCTTTTCTTAAGTCAATAAAGATATCTGTTATAGCATATACAAGTAGAGAACCACTTACTGATTAAAGACCAACAGTAAAATGCATTCAAAATGCTACACTGAACATCATAAAGAGAAAACCACAATTTCAACAGTGCCAGGTTACAAGTTATCATCTATTTCCGTAGTTGAAGCAATAAAAGTAGTTATGATAATAATATAGGGTTAAGAACTCTCAGAAGCTAAGAAATATAAGGAAAACAATCCAATCATTTCAACATCTTAATATTTGAATAATGTACCCATCAAGGGTCTACGATTAAAATAATGCACTTCTGAAAACCGACACTGGCCCAACGTGCTGTTTAGCGCTCAGCAATGTGATTTCCCAGAAGAAAAACTCCTGGGAGACCTGGGGATGTGGGCAGTACCTTTATTAAAGCTCTCCCAGACTTGAAGTGGGTGAAGTCACAGTGAAACATCACCTGATACTCCCACCAGGGGGCACTCAGTCTCCATGTTTGAGGCAAGAACAGACACCCACATGCCTACTTGACCTACACAGCACAAAAATGCACTGATGGCATCATTACTGGTTTTTGAAGACAAAATAAAATGTAATCCAAGTCATGCTTCATTCTTTTACAGAACAGGCAAGTTCAAAAACCTAAAAAATGACACCAGGGATTTATGGGAAGGAATTCTAATTGCAAGCTGAAGCAGGACAATATTAAGAAATGCTTTCAGTTTCCTTATTCATACAAAGGAACATCAGAAAGCAAACTCCTGTTCCTCAGGATACACCTACATGGAGCAGAGGTTCCAAGGAGAATAATTAACAGCTAAATCCCAGGCTATCAGGCTTTCCTCCCTGATAAAGCTGAGGAAAGCATAGTGTCCTCTACTGTGGAAAGTTCTTTGGAAGTCCAAGGAAAAATCCCAGGCCCCTTCAAAGGCCTAGGCCAATTCAAACTTCTAACTCTAGTGTTAGAGCACAGGAAGCTGAAGTAGCAGGCCTGGGGGAAAAACGGAATTAAATGTCTAATGAACTTTTTGGGGCTTCAGGTTAAAAGAGATGAATCTGTATTTACTGGGTACTACACCCTGTAGAATGAGGCAGGTTCTTTAACTCCCAAGGTGATTATTTAGTCAGAGGCAGAGAAGAACAGCTTTTCTGATGAAAATAAGTATGTCCAAAAGGTCCCACTGTAGCCAAAGACTGTCTAATGTAACAACACCCATCAGACTTTCACTCAGTGAGTCAGAACAACCAACTGGCAATTCATGTTTACGTTAATATGAGCAAACAGCACCCCCTTGGTCCACTTTCAAGGACCATCGTGACTCCTTGCGCCTCATAAAATGATCAAGCCAACTCTGGACTCCCACTTCTCCCAACCACACAGTACTGGGCTGGAATGCTTCTGCCCGACTGGAACAGAGAACAGATACACACTCAAAGGCATCTTACCCGTAATTTTGCCATTGGCTTCTGAGGGAGGTTGCCAATTTACAATTATCGTCCTAGGTTTTCCCTCTTTACTCACAACTGTCACATCCTTGGGTGGAGAAGTAGGAACTACAAAATAATAAGACTTTCAATAATTCCTGTCCATTCCAGTTTCATTTCTACAACACTTTCCTTTTATAAGGTACAATAAGAAGTATAAGACAAAAAAGCTAAAGCCTCCTGGCTTCAAAGAACTCATAGTCTACCTATAAACAGATCCAATACAAGGAATAATATGCCAGGGCGCCTGGGTGGCTCAGTCGTTAAGTGTCTGCCTTCAGCTCATGATCCCAGGGTCCTGGGATCGAGCCCCGCATCGGGCTCCCTACTCAGCGGGAAGCCTGCTTCTCCCTCTCCCACTCCCCCTGCTTGTGTTCCCTCTCTTGCTGTCTCTCTCTCTATTAAATAAATAAATAAATCTTTAAAAAAAAAAAAAGAAGAAGAAGAATATGCCAAGTACCAAAGAAAAAACACCATACTATGAGGATATAGAATTGGTATCTTGGGCTGAAGGACAGGGATTTATAGGGTTCTTAGGTAAGGAAATCAAAAGACCTCTGTAGTTAGTTACCAAGTATCTACATTATGCCAGGCATTTTATAAATAGTATTTCACTTAATATTTATGGCAACTCAAAAGGCAGTTACCACTATCCCTGCTTGACAGAGCAGGGCATTGACAATGAAAAAAGTTATGTAATTTGCCCAAGATGACTCCCCCCTCCCCAAATTTGGATTATTTTGTTAGAATATTTTCAAGTGTAAAATAATTTTCTCTTTCACTTATAGTTGGCTCTCCAAACAAAATATAATGTTTGAAATCCCCTATTCCCTCAAAGAATAAATGAGTTACAAATTGCTGTTTTTAAGTTTGCACTGCCAACTATTTGAGATTATTGCTCTGAAATGCAAAGCTGTTATGAAACAACACCAACAATGAAAACAACACTGCATTTCTTTTATTTCCATGTTATGGCTGATAACTTTTAATGTACTAGTAGAGAAATGAGCAAATTAAGTACATCCTTAAATTTACTCTTCTCTTCCTAAAATACTGGAATCTTCCTAGCATAAAATGGAAGGAAGCCTGGTGAAATGCAGACATCCTAAGAAAATACATAGTATTATTTATTAACTAATGGATTGGAATGAAGCAAAAAGATATTCTTAAAACTAGCAAAGAAAGAAAACTCAAGGTCCATTTAAACTTTTATGCACTGTTATTTCTAAGCTCTCCAGATCCAACCCCTTTTCCCTGTAGGAAGTCCAACCAACTGCGCAGGAGACAAAAAGACATTAGGGCCAGGCCCAGTCTGGAGAGACTTGATTAGCTCCATTTTTTCATTATTTATATATAGGAGAAAAAAGCCATAGGAGGCTGGAAGGGAAGGGCTCCCAATGGTCACACATATCCCCATGCTAGAAAAGTACGAGAGGTAGAAGAGCAGACCTACAAATGAGCAAAAGGCAAACAAAATCTCAAACTTGGATACAAGCCTGCTTTCCCCTTAATTTGCTAGGTGTCTTTTATCTTTTTTTTTTTTTTTTAAAGATCTTATTTATTTATTTGAGAGAGAGAGAATGAGAGACAGAGAGCATGAGAGGGAGGAGGGTCAGAGGGAGACGCAGACTCCCTGCGGAGCAGGGAGCCCGATGCGGGACTCGATCCTGTGACTCCAGGATCATGACCTGAGCCGAAGGCAGTCGCTTAACCAACTGAGCCACCCAGGCGCCCTAGGTGTCTTCTATGTTTCATGTTTACTTACAGACAAAATCCCTTAGGCTGCCCCAATGGGATTTTACCAGATACTAACTGGTTGTAAGAAGGCTGCTGGGGCAGCTTTCAGGTTCCCTGGTAAAGTTCTGAGGCTCTAGCAAGCATGGCGTTGGCAGAGGCTTGGTGAAGAGCAGGTCACTTCACTTTTTCTATCTCAATTTAGCAATAAAGCAGGATTAATGACAGTAATCCTTTACATCTACACAGTGCTTTATAATTACCATGTGCTTTCTCATCTGTTTATTTTACCTTACAATAACTCTATAAGGTAGGAAAAGCAGATATTATTATCACCCCTCTTTTGCAGATGGAAGAAATGACAGGCTGGATGACTTACTTATGACTTACACAGTCAGTATTTGGTTGACCTGGGACTGAACTCAAGTCCCTTGATTCCTAAAATCTAGTATACTTTGCATTCTATTATCCCATTATTTGCTAATGTTCTTGTTCAGTGACGAAGAAAACCTAATTCATCAGCTGAAAAAGCAAACACTGAACTCCAGCTGTGCTGCTCACTATTTTCTGTAAGTGGGTTAATTCATGCCCTTGATTCTTTCCTTGGGTAGTAGAAGCAGGTGATGAGAAGTCTCATGACTTGGAATGTGGCCCAGCATTAGCTGGACTTCCACTGGCTTTCACGTCTTACAAAGAGAAGAAATGCCGTGTGATGTAAGATTCAGACAACACATACCAAATTCAAAGGTGGTCCCATGGGCTGTCATACTCCACGTGCTTGATCTTCGACCTTTGGTCACCATCACAGAGAATTCATACAGTGTATTTGCTTTTAAACCAGTCACCAAGTAACTTAAAGTTGTTGCATTTGCATTCTGGAGGCATAAGAATCAAGAACTTTAGAATTAGGAAATATCAAGAGCTAGATTTTCTCACCCAGAGCAAATGTGCCAGTACCTTGTACTTGGTGTTTGCTGGGATGTTGGTTTTCCATCGGACTGTGTAGTACCGGGAATCTGTAATCTTCTGGTGTTTGGGCAGTGAGTTGTCCGCCCATGTGATCCTTATGGTGTCATGACTCAGAATGGAAGCCTGAACTCCCACAGGTGGCATCATGGGAGTGGGATCTGGCACTGGAGTGTATGGAGCATTAATAACAAATAAATCAACTTCAGAAGTGTCTGGGTAAAAAGTAATTAAAAAAGGGAAGTGGCATTTTAACATAAACAAAAAGAAAAGAAAAGGAAAATGCAGGGTAATATAATGGAATGAAAGGTGAGAAATGGAGAAAGAGAAAGAGAATCTAGAGTTAATAGATAACCACCATTCATTACTCCCACTTGTGTTCTTTCAGGAAAAATTTGCAGGAAAATGTCTAGGGAAATAATTAACTATATTCTCTACTGTATTCTCTAGGTATATTAACAATTGATAATCCAATGATTATATTAACATATTCATACTTGAATTTTCTTTAAATTACTTGAAAATTCTATCTCCTTTCCAAAAAGGATTGTGAGAAGATACAAAGTACTTTTAAAATCAAGGGTGTAATTTCAGAACAAGCATCACAAAGCTCATTATCTGTTTTGGTATTTCGATGAATGTGACTGAGTTTTTGGGACATGGCTTATCAATGCAGGTCAATGAACATGTAAGGGTCCTATTCTCAAGCCTGAGTCCTGAATGCCAGCCAACGGCAACTTAGCCTGGCCTTGGTTTTAGGGTTATCTGATACCCACACAGGGTCTAGTTCAGATCTGCTGATGTCCTGGGTCTAAAAGCAAAATGGCTCACATCCAAATAAATCAAAGGAACTCAAGGGCATTACTCTTCCTGAAGAAAAGGTAGGCTAACACCATGAAGGAATATCTGCTATGCTTTCTCCAGTAGAATCAGAGAATAACCCACCTAATGAATCCCAATCGGTTATGTGAAATGACATACTTATGGGACCAAGTGACAGCCTTTATGAACATAAGAAATCAGAATACTTATTCGATAGAAAGAAAAGTCTATACTCATGTATGTCCTGTGCCATATGCAGCTGACACCTTCTCTAAGCTCAGTGTCAAAACAGAGGCTAGAATGTGCACACAGGCACCAAGGACCATGAGCCCAGGACAATACAGTAGGATCCCCTGGGCTTTATCAACTCTTGGTCAGGTTTTCTAAGTACATACATATTGATTTATTTTAAGTTAAGGTTTTAAAATGGGTTTCCCACCTGGTTAAGGAGAATAGCCCTTCCTGTAACTCAAAACCTGAAATGGCATGGACCTTGTTTATGAGTAAGTGCCAAACTAACGTAATAGTCTCCATTTGTGTATTTCCTACACAATGAGGACTAAAGTAACAGAGGAACAGCATACATTATAGTCAAGGGCTTTGTTCAAAGATCAGGAAACAAATCAATTAGTTATAGAAAATGCACCGTCAGGTGCAAAAATCATTAGACTTCTTTGAGAATTTTTTTTTATTTGTAATAACTCTTGGAGAAGATAACAAGGTTACATGACTTAGGAACATTTCCTTGTATACTTCTAACCAGAAGGCTATTATTTTTAAGTGACATAAGAGAAAATTTCAAAAAAGTTTTTTCTATTATAGGCTAATTTAAGAAAGTAGCAAACCACTTATCTAAATATTCTCTTTTTCATCTTACTTTTTTTTCCTTTCTGGAATACCAAAGCTCTTTGCAAAAGAACTTATAAATTGTAAGCACACAGGAGAAGACAGGACAGAACTACCAAACATGTAGTGATGATGCTGGTCTTGTTAAGTAGAAGCATTAAAGAAAAAAAGGGGCAGAGATGATCTTTTTAAAAAGAATAATGTGAAATTTGCATTATTACACAAAATATCCAGAAAATACAGCAGGCAATAGAGATACACAGCTCTAGAAAACAAATGGAAAAGAGCATTTCTGCAAATGATAAATTCTTGGGTTTTCAGGACCCTTTTTATAAGTCTAATGTATTTATTTCAACAAACTTTCTCATTCAGCCCTATATTAGATGTTTTATCTACAGAAATTTTACATTATATATTTCTTTATTACAAAAAATAATATTTTGGTCTCATTTGTAATAAATGTACAGTTGATCAAATGGATGGTACCACTGACTTTATACTCCTTATATATATAAAGCTTATGAAAAGCAAATAGAAGACTACTTTCCCAATCAACTCAGGTGACTAGTAAAGAAAATGCTGGATTCACTGATCATACACATTTACTGAGACCATCAGTAACCTATCTAACTCCTCCAGAGATACAGAGACCCGTTCATTTTTTTTCACTCATTTTAGTTGTAACTCACATGACCAAAAGATGAAAGTCACTTTTTTTTTAGGGGTGGGGAGGGGCAGAGGGAGAGGAAGAGAGAAAATCTTAGGCAGGCTAAATGCCCAGCATGGAGCCTGATGTAGGGCTTGATCTCACAGCCCTGAGATCATGACCTGAGACAAAAATCAAGAGTCAGATACTTAACCATCTAAGCCCACCCAGGTGCCCCCAAAATCACTTGTAATTCTCTCAAAACTATAGTTTCTAGATCCCAACATATTAAAAATGTGCTACATATCTACATGGAATTATTTATATGAATGACTAGATTGTTAGCATTTTCTAAAAAGCAAAACAGAAATTAATGGCGATCTCTGTGTTGAAAGCCTCGTTTCCTATATGAAGCCTGCAGCCCACGCTGGCATATACTTTCCCTTTCACTGATACCTATGGGACAGACCTCATGCCAACATTCCACATAAGCTGCTGGAAAAAATGCTGAAGACAGAGGCGGACAGGATGGCTTACCTGTGTGAGGTCTGGTCACAGCGCTCTCATACAAGGGGATGCCCTCACCCACGTTGTTAAAGGCTTTCAGGGTTATCACATAGTGAGAGCTGGGATCTGAAGAAGGAAACAAGTGAAAACACTTAGGAAAACATTCTCCAGAATTTAAAAAATTCAAGGGTGACGGTGCATGATCTTAGGTGCAGAGAAAGTCAGGAAAGATTTTAAAAACGTTTCTGTGGGATTCCTCTAGGGTGTGGGGAAATGTAGAGATGGCAGCACACACAGCACAGAAAAAATGGGATCAATGTTTCGGAGCAGTCCCAGAAGTGAGGATGGCTGTGCCTGGATCCTCTCTTGGCCTCACCTAACCAATGGTGTAGTGATGTTACTGTACAGCGGAGGGCTTGGATGAGAATGAGTAAATAGGATTTTCATGTGTTGTAAGCCCATAGGTGGAACTTGGTATTTCACTGTGGTTTTACTTACATTTCTCTAATGATTAATGATGTTGAGACTCTTTTCATGTGCTGACTGTCCACTCATATATCTTCTCTGGTATACTGCCCATCCCAATCTTCTGCCTACTCTTTTACTGGATTGTCATCTTCTTATTAAGTTGGAAGAGTTTTATATTTTCTGGACTCAAATTCTTTGTCAGATATTTGAATGGTGAGTATTTTCTCCTAGTTTGTGGCTCGTCTTTTCACTCTATTGCTGTCTCTCCAAAAGTTGGAAGTTTCAAATTTCAAAGAAGTGCTATAGATTAATTTTTTAATTTTATAACTTATGCTTTATACATCCTGAGAGATCCTTGTCTACCTCAAAGCCATGAAGGTTTTTTCCTGTCTTCCTCTAGAAGTTTTATGGTTTTAGTTCTTGCATTTAGCTCTGTTTTTGTGTATGATGTGAAATAAAGGTCAAGGAAAGTTCCCTTTCTTTCTCATACAGATATCCAATTCTTCCTACATCTTTTGCTGAAAAGACTACACTCTCCCCACTAAATTATCTTACTGTGTTTGTCAAAAATCAATTGACCATATATATATGGATCTATTTCTGGACTCCATTCTGTTCTATTGATCTGTAACACCTACCTTTGCACCAATACCACCACAATGTCTCGACTACAGTAGCCTCATGTAAGTCCTGAAATCAGGTAATGTGGGTCTTTAGAAGACATCTGAAGAAATGTTGAAAAGACCATACTACCTGATTTCTCTTTTTCAAAACTGTTTGGCTATTCTAGTTCCTTTGACTTTTAGAATTAAGTTTATCAATTTCTATAAAAAAGTCTGTCAGGATTTTACTTGGAATTGCACTGGGGAGAACTGTCATTTTAATAATATTATCCGATCCATAAACATGATACCTCTACTTATTTAAGTCACCCTTAATTTCCCTCAGCAATAATTTTCTAATTTCCAGTGTACAGACCTTGTTCATATTTTTAAAGTTTATCTCTAAGTATTTTATTTTTTTGATGCTGCGTAGGTAGTACTTTTATTTTAATTTCAACTTCCAACTGCTTATTGTTAGTACATGGGAATATAACTATTTTTGTATATCAACTTTGTATCCTGTGACTTTGCTGAACTCACTTATAGTCTTGGTAGCCTTTTTTGTAGATGCATGAGGATTTTCTACCCTGATAACAAGGAATGTGTATAGTGCTCAGATATTGGTTTCTAAATGTCATTTTCCATAAAATAAACCAGCATTCCTTGGAGAAATGACTGATTCAAGGGCTAAGGATAGGAAAATATCAGATGAGCCCACTATATCTTACTGTGTCAAAAAGGAAGAAAGTAGGGGCGCCTGGGTGGCTCAGTTGGTTAAGCGACTGCCTTCGGCTCAGGTCATGATCCTGGAGTCCCGGGATCGAGTCCCACATCAGGCTCCCTGCTCAGCGGGGAGTCTGCTTCTCCCTCTGACCCTCCTCCCTCTCCTGCTCTCTGTCTCTCATTCTCTCTCTCTCAAATAAA